AGGAAGAGAGGGCTGGGACTGACTACGGGCCAGCATAAATAACTCATGTCTGACCAGACCTAGGGAGAGCGTCAGGCCCCTGGGAGTTTGGCCCCACTCTGGCCAACACATCTGTGCCTTTGTCGTGCAGCAAAAGGCAGCGTTGGATGGCCCGGCATGCTACAGAGAGTGTGTGAGAGAACAAGAGACCTCCCAGCAGGCTCCAGGGAGCCCTGTGCTGCTGCTTTGAGCAGGTCAAAAAAAAAGAATGAGGGCATATCTGGCAATCCGACTCCCTGCTTCTTCCTCCTCCCCAGCCTCAAGCAGGATACCTTTTTGTCTGGTCCCTGAAGCTAGGTCCAGAGACAGCAGCTGAAAGGCCTTCACATCCCTAAAAAGTACCAGGGCTGTTCTTTGTCCTTAAGAAGAGAGTGAAAGGAGATGGTCATGAGGGGCAACAAGGATATCTCAGGCGAAGAGGCTGAAACCCACACCCTGCTGACCCAGGAGAGGACCCCAATGGCCAGGATGGAGGTCTGACCAGGACCATAAAAGCCCGTACCAAGCTGTGGCACGGAGGTGGCTGGGCAGGAGGGAACTGAAGGTGAAGTGAGCCAGAGAAAGTAAGGTGGCCTCCCTTCCCTGGTTAACTTCAGGACATCTCTCTGGTAGAGGGGAAAAGAGAACAACTGGGGGTTCTGGAGCAGAAATCAGAGAACAAGGGCTGCTTTTTTCCAATGCATATGATTGATTACCCCTTCACATCAGGCAAAAGTGCCTTACAAGAAACAGGTAGCTGTCATTGCATTTTGTAAAGCATCCCCTTGCCATGTGTTGGAGTGCTTCAAGAGTACCTACCCCAGCAAATGCTTCTAGACGTAGACATGTAGACATGTAGACATAGGGGGAGGAAAAAAATTGGTTCAGCTTTTTTTATTTATTTATTATTAGTTTTAATGAATGGCTAAATACCCAAAATGTAATGGAAAGAATACCTAACTCATTTTGGATCTATCCTTTATCGGGAGAAAGTGCACAAACATATGTTGGTGATCAAGGAAGGTGGGAGGAGCAGGACAAATTTTTTTCTAGGAAAATTAGAAAAAGAAACTATTGTATTAAGGAATCATACTGTTATAGCATAAAATTATGTTAGAGGAGGGCAGGTAAGGAAGAAGAGTTCAGCCTGGTTCCTCGTCACTGTGACCCCTCCATTTCTCCAGAGCTCACGTATTAGCATGGCTAGAGCATAGCAGGGACTAGAAGAGAACAACGAAGTAAGGAGAGCACTAAAGATTTGTGCTGTCCGTGCAGAGCTGAGGCTGCAGTGAGGACATAGCACTGGAAAGCTAAAAATTCCAGAGTCAGCTGAGATGGCTTAGGCTCTACAGCAATGTGCAACATAAATACAGGTATGAAACTGAGAATAAAATCATATAAAATTAGATACAGTTTATAATTAGAAGCTACAGCTGTCAGAGCAGACATGAAATCATATTTCATACTTAAACATTGATACTAGGTATAGAATAAGGCTGCTAAAGCCAAAAGAGAAGGTTTGAGATACGGCTAGGGTAGTACAAAAAGATACCCTTGCTGGAAGAGGTCAGACCGAAGGTGACAGGGAAAGGTGCAACACCACCAACCTTACCATCATCCATCACTTCAGTTTAAAATAAGCTTTAACACTCATGGAGTTCAATTATTTGCTGAAAAAAAATGTGGCTTAGATCAATTTGGGCCTTTTAGCACATTGGCTTTCTGTTCTCATTACCCCCATCTATGGGATTAGCGCACTATCAAAATGGAATTAAAATGCACTGTCTGTTGTTTCCAGCAACACAAAGCTGAAGTAAATCGCAAAGCAGCAGAAGGCAGTCACCTGACATTAGATGGGCTATGTTACGCCTATCATCTCTGGACTTTAGGTTTTTATCTTAGCAACCACCAGCTTTCAGCACTGTCAGGAGAAGTATACATTTTACTATGTTAAGCAAGAGCAGAAACAATTAGAGCAAATATTTTATTAATGGAAACAAATACTGAGAGGAAAGGCTGGAAGGAATGTCTGTGTAGGAGCAGACTGCTTATAACTCAAGGTCAAACCCAGATCAGAACTGAGAGCATGATCAAAACATCAGCAATAAGAAATACTTGATAGCATTTATGTCACAGACTTAGCTGCAGTTCTGGAAACTTCAGTGCTCAAGTGCCAGAAAAGCCACTGTGAGCTGGGATCTGCAAAATCTTTTCTTGCTGGAGAACAGCAACAGCCAAAGACAAGTCCCTTTCTTGTCTTAATGTAACCGTAAAAGTAATCTGCTGAAACAGGTTCACGGAGGGCAGATTCAAACTCATCTTTAAAAGGCAAAGGCTCTGAAACATCAAGACAAATGGATTAAGGGCTCGATTTTCCTGGGTATTCCAAATTCTTCTTAAAGTCAACACCATTGACTTTAAATGGCACTAGAATGGGGGTTCTGCTGACCCCCGATCTGTAGAAACTTCTTTTACAGCTGTTATTTTGACAGAATAACAGAAAAGTCTGCAAGGCTTTAAGAAATATGGTTTGTATTTTAACAGAGAATTGCAAAACCACTTAAATAAAAAAATGCAACAACAAGCAGCCAAAAATCATGATCCTTCCTCATCTAAATAAATCAAGCCAGAAATTAAGAGCAGATTAGGATTTAATTTAGCAGTTACAACCTAGGAATTAGGTTAGGTTTTTCCAAATTACAGCCTATGCCATAAATAAAAGTTAAACATGGATTCTACAGCTTAATTTTATGCATCTCTAGGAATTTGCCAGGTACATTACTACATACTTTCCTCCAAAAGTTTATTTTAAAGACAATTTTCATAAAAATTTGAACATTACTGAACACAAAGCAGCAATCTTACTCATTCAGTTCCAGCACAAAGAAAATTACAAGGTTTTTGCCTGGGCATTAAGAGTTGGGGACAAAGGTTGTATTTTGGCTTGGTTAGATTTTCTTTGTTTAATTATCAGCAGAGGATTATTAAATTTTTGCTGAGACATTGCCACTTCTCCGGTGAGTGGCCACCTTTGCTGGTTTATTTCAAATAGAGAGGTATCCCACATCCAAACTAAGCTGTCCTACATTAACAGCTGTAGTCCTCTGACCAGGCTTGCCTCACTCACCGGGTTTGCATCACTCACCTGTAGTTTCATTTCCCCTTCCCTGCTGTGTGGCTGCCCAGAGGATGAGAACAGAAATAAGACTGATCCTGGCCATTGTATCACCCGTCCTGGATAAGCCTTTCATATCGCTTCGTTTCCAAGGCGGTAGAGCTCGATTGTCCTCATATGCAGACTTTTGGATTAGGGGAAAAAGTGCTCTGTTGTTTTACCTTTTGCAGGTGGGTGATAACTACTGGCAACAGAAACAAAGAGGCTCTGGTGGGAATTTTGCTGGTTCTCTCTCCTTCACGCTCTCCCCAGAGAACCTGCCTCTTCTACCTGCCTAGCTTGGCCCCCCCTCCCTGCCTCATTTTGAGGAAAAGGCATTTCAAAATTGCTGGTTTAGTCCACCTTTATCCTTCTAAGCACTTATTCCCTCTCACACCTTGAACACCTGACAGTTAGGAGCGAGATTTACATACCTCAAATGTCAAGTATGCATCTTGAATTTAATTTCTGGCCACAAATCAGGTGATACTATTTTTTAGGTCTTTAATTTTATACTTTGAAAATAAACTAAGAGTAAAAGCAAATGTTTACATAAAAGGTTTTTCCTGAATTTAAGCTGTTTCGCTAGCTGCTCTCATTGTACTCCTCAATTCATTGCAATTTCAGCATCACATACACCAGAGCAATGCCAGGCAGACAAGAACCTTATTAGGCAGGGCATGAATCAGGAGAGCTGAGAAACCAAAATCCCTTTCTTTTCATTGTGTAAATCATGAAGGCATGTTCCCAAGAAAGATATGCCTGCAGTTTTACAATGCAGGACAATAACTTCAGTGCAACATTCCTTGGCTCATGCAAAGAAAAGCAGTAAACACAATATGATATTTTATTAGGAGCTGACACTGAACTATGGAAAATCACAGGTATGGTTCTTGGAGCTGAGGCAATATGTTCAGACCAGCACTTAAACAGATATTACAGTATTGTAGACAATTTCATGTGGATGAAAGAGCCAGATATAAGGGAGCCACCACCACAAACTCTTTTGTGTATATTCAGAATATCAGTAATATCGCTTCTGTAAAACACTGTCAGGTAATCACCATGTCAGCACTCACAAGGTAGGAGAGCTGGAGAACACACAGGGCTAACAGGGAATTGCTGGATGGTTCGGATCCTCTGGCAGAGGGCAGAGCCAGGGCTCCATGTAGTGTCAAAACATTTGTGAGGTCCTCTTCTGGCTTTGAAGATAAAATGTCAAGCTCACCAGGAGAAAAAAAAAAAAAAAAAAAAAAAAAAAAGGAAAATTAAGGCTTGTCCAAACTTCAATTGATAAATGTTTTTGGAGAAAATGGGAGAAAGAGTAGAGGGGAACACTTCAACCAAAAAACCCCAGAAACCAAAATATATTCTGTTTTGGAAACACGATTGCTATGCCTAAGGAACGTGTACCATGACACCCTTCTCCTGCACTCAACAGGATGTGTAGTCAGGCTGTATCCTCCAGGCACACCATTTACATCTCGTATTAGAACAGGCAGGCAACAGGGAGACCCTGGATGGAGCCTGCACAGAGGATGCAATCTGACTCAAAAACCCCACTAATAAGAAAAAGAAGACTTGACTCAGTGAAGTTCAGTTTGCAAATAGAAATATTTCTTCGTGGTCTTTCACATTTTTTTTTCTAACAAACTATACACATTTTCTGGAAAAACAAGTCTTAATTGAAAGTTTTTTAGCTAGCTCTAACAAAAAAAGATCTATAGACCTTAGAAATTACTTGGCACCTTCTGCAAGAAGCATATGTCCTGGCCAAATTCAAATATAGGTAGTTCCAGACTGGCATCTGAATTGGATTGCATTTGGGGTCTCCCACTTAAAATCCTAAATTGCTGGATGGGGTTGTCATATGTTTTAAACAACTGCTGCTTTCCAGAGTTAGCTATAAAACAAATGTCACATCCTCACCACTGAGGACTTCTATGACTTAAGTGTCATCCTCCAAACTGCAATAAAGGACTAACATCCTCATTCTAAAAGATTTAAGTATACACACTCATCTCTAGGACTATTAAAAAACACAGATAAAACTTTACATATTCACAGTTCAGTCTTACTGTAGCTGGCTCATGTTCAGGGTGAGGCAACTAACAGTAAGTTGCAATGTCACTGCAGTAGTGAATTAAACGGTTCCTAAATACAGAATATGCATAACCCCCTTTTCAAACAAAACTGTAAGTAAAGTCAGTGGGTGTTTAATCTAAATAAGAAATGGATACAGAAGTCGTGCATTTCAAGATTTACCTTGTAATTTGCAAATTCTTCGAGGTTCTGATTCATATCTGCATTATTTCTTCAGTTACAATCATTTAGGCACACAGCAACTTAGCTTTTTTAGCAATGGAGACATTGGAAGAGACCCACCCAGGCAATTAAGCATGCATCCTATGTCCTCTGCAATGATTTTCACATCTTCCAGACATATCCTTGCACTGCATTAACTGTGGTAAATCTAAGATGATGCCCTGCATTCAAGGCAGTAGCATGTGTTCTTCAGACTACTGCAGTTGCTGTAATGAGTTGCGCTTACTCAGCACAAGTCAATATAGAGTCTCCTGCAGGGAAACTAGATAGATTCAGCAAACATTTTGGAAAACTGACCACCTGTACATGCATGGCTGCTTACATACAGTTATATTTTTAGTAACCATAGATTTAAGTAATAGAAAAAGTTTTCATCTTTTTTCCCCTTTTCCTTTCACCTAGGTGATATCTTAGGACTCCAGTGCAAAATTTGCTCACTTTTGCTTTCGTGGTGAGGAAGGTCAATGGAGAGGAACAGAGAAGGAGATGTTTAGTGGGACAAAAGCCCTGGCTATGTGGTGCTGGCAGTGAGCTGGAGCACACACTGGAAGGAGCTCCTCATGGTCCTCCTGGCCCAGTAATCTGGAGCTGATCAGTTCTCCTAGCTCTGTTGTTTGTATTTTCTGCTGTTAAATTTGTAATGGCTGAGTTGATCTAAAGTATGCAATTTATACAAAGAAGAATTTATACATGGTCAATAAAAGCCACGTCAAAATCCATTCATGGATAATTTTACAGGATCAAGAAGCAGATTTTGAGAGATGGGATTTGACTCTCTTAGACTGTACTATCAGTGATTGGAGTACTGTGGCTGACAGTAGGCTTTCTCATCATACTTCTTAAGCGTTTATTTCTTTAGACATTCACTTTTGATTTCATTAGTCACTTAGAAGATATTGATCTTCTTTAGACTAGGAGTTTGACACTGAAAGGTCAGTTGCTGCAACATTTCTTGTTGCTTTGCACTATTTTATCTAGAAGATAATCACTACTTTAAATGCCCAAAATGGTCATGACATTTCAAGACAGACTGCTCTGCGTGCTGGAGACAGGACCATGCTTTTGGGCTCCATGGGAATCTAACAAAAGCTGTTCTGCATCCCAAAAGCCAGCACACCCTCCCATAGATGTACGGGACCTAAAGCTTGAGCACCATTAAATCATTTAACCTGACCTCTCAAAATCAGCTGTCAGTAAACTTTTCCCAGACACTTCTTCCAGACTCCCCTCGTTTCAATCTGATTACAGCCTATCAGTCTGAGAAAGGAATGGACACAAGTGCCACCAGCCCTGAGGATCTCACAGTGGAAATAAACTAATCTGGGTCAGGAATGCAAAGGCAAAACCATGCTGCTAACTGCCAAATAAGGTGACAAGAAGTTCAGATGAGACCTGATTTCCATCTGATTTCTGCCCCATGGTTGTGTTCCCAGGTACCTGTGACTCCCAGTGAATTTTGTCTCACCATTGGGACTGTCTTAAAAACTTCCCCTGCTGTGACATTTCAGATATTTAGTAAGTGTTGAGTTCAAACCAATCCTTCCCTTACTGGGGCATTGATAAGGTTTCTTTGCTCTTCTCCACTCCCAATCCTTTTGAAGCCTGCAGAAACTTAATTGCCTTTGAGCCTGCACCTGATCTGTCAAAACTGGCTTAAATCAGTCAACAAGGCCAAAGGGCGTTAGAAGAGAGAAACAGGCTGACTTAGGCAGAAGTAACCTTTCTGCAGGTAAAGACAAAATAAAATAAATCACTCTTCCCATCAGGATAGAAACTTACTCCAGCTTCTGAAAATCACACCTTAATGGACACCTTAATGTTTTCTTCCTACAGAGAACTGAACTTCTCAGAAACTTCAGCTATTCAGCTCTCAGACTTAAAATGCTAGTTCGCAGTTCCAGGGTCTTGAATTCCCTGGCCCTGTCATGGACCTTTTGTGCAGCCCAAAGCAAGTCACACAGGTCAAATCTGCCACTGCAATGAAGCCATATTGGGGGCAGAAAGCCCAGTATTTCAGACCTCTTGAAAGCCACAGCTACAATACTATAAATATGCTTTTGCTTATGTTACCTGAGAAAAAATAGAACAGAAAAAAAATAACTGTTTTGCCAGCGTATGCTAGGCCTACGTTAGGATGGACAACAGCTAAACTAGCAAATTTTTGAAGGGGTCCTTGTTTCCCTGAGCTTCAGACACATATCCAAAAAGGGGAATAGTAACACTTGCTTATTTCGCTGTTGTATCTCAGAGAAAAATGGATTAAAGATCAAGGGACATACACAAATGACAGCAAAAAAAACATCCACATAAAGCCCAAAGAGTTAATTAGATCAAATGTGCAGGCTGCATTCAGTGATTTCTCTGTCTCACCAACAAACTGTTCCTCAGGAAAATCTTCGGGTTTTGTTTTTTCCCCTGAACATGCACGAAGTGTTTTAAAGTGACTCATGAGGAAAAAGTTCTTATTGGTAACAGGAGGAAAAAATATGAGTCAGGCGGAGGTCATGCTGAACCTCTGCCGGGCCTTGCTCCTCCAACTGAGCTCTGATTGTGCAATCTCAGCACAGAGAAGCTCTTGTTTGCTCCAGTGCTTTGATGGCATGGTCCCATTCCCAGTGCTGAGCTTGGTACCAGATGAAACTGTTGGTCACACCTCATACATGATTTAGCAGCGCTGCAGGGAAGTAAATCCCATCTAAGACATTTTGCAGCATGCTTCTTGTTTTTAGTTCTAAGACCAGG